ATGGAGACAATTGGAGCCAACTCAGTTCAACTTGAGAACTAGGCCACAAGTTTAAAGACTCTAATAATAGAATAACTACTATTGGAAACAGTATGGTTCCAAGTTAGTTATATTGTAATTACTAAAGAGGATGTGGTGATTTTCAGGGTCTCTACGTGTTCGCACCTTTCAAGAATACTCAACCTTGCGAGTTATAATCAGAGAGGTACATAGTTATATGATAAATAGATGTAGTCTGCGAACACTCAGATATAGAATATAAATATCGAAGTACCTCCCAAGCTTTAAACATCATCAAGCAATCGAGAAGAGACCTTAATAATATAATATTGTTTTATAATTCCATTTTACTTTATCAAATTTACTTCGTTCTTAGTAGTCATAAATGAAACAAGTGAACTCAAGCCTTCTTAGACAATCTCCGTCTACAAAAATGAATATTGATTGGCTCAGACAATTCTGAAGTCTATCAGATTGTCTCCACCTAACATTTTGGTGTTCAATTATACAACTTACAATCTAATTAAAGGAATAGTGCTATAGGAATCATGTAGAAAAAATCTTAACTTGTGCAGAGAAAAAGAACTGTAATTTGGGTGTGTATTATGACTCTTAAATTCAATAAAAACTACTTATATTCACTAGCCATTTTACAAATATCTGATAAGATTTTGCTTATTAAGAAAAATACTATAGTCAAATTTTTGCCAAACAGAATTATTTATGAAAATACTATTGTATTCTTATTTCAACTTATAAGCTATTTTCATGAAATACAATAGTATTTTTTTACAGTGGGTTGCCAAACAGGGCCTTACTACAAGTTAGTGCACTCCTGTATATACAAGGACTATCACCCATACATCTTGCTTAGAAAAAATAAGGAACAGAACCTCTATCAATCTGCCTTTGAACGGTACCACTTCTCACAAAATGTGCTGGTAATATCCTCCTAATATCACGTAGTTTACTCAAGATAGGTATACAATTACACCTCTTAAGTTACAATTACGAACATATATTAATTGGAGGTCATCACCATGTATATTGCAAATAAAATCCAATTGTTTACTAAATTGTGTCTTCATCTCTGGATGTCACTTTTTGAACTCTTCATCCTACCACTTTCCCAAGCTTTCATATGTATTTTCCTTTTGTACAACCAATATCGCAATTTCACATAACTGCTAAATAGTTGGTGGAAAACCAAGCCAGCAGCAAAAATATCAACGTTCAAGAACAATTTGCTCCTGCTCTGGCAATAGCTTCTGCCATCATTGGCCCTCCTCTTCACGATTTTTCCTTCATTGTCAAAAATGGATCACCATACTTCGAGTTGCTCCTACCATGGCCGCAGCAGTTCTAAGGCTCGGGGCTGTTCCAGTGTACACCATTTCAATGGCCATCTGTTTGAGAATACAGGTTGGAATCATGGTATTGCTTGTAGGCATAATAAATGCTCGAGTCTTTGAATCAATAGAAATTGAATGGTATGTTCGGCCTCTGCAGTCTCACTCAAGATTCAATGATGAAAGTTATTTTACTAACTATTCTAAGGTGCCAAGATACCTAGTGCCTCGCTGAGGGTGCTGTCTCGCTGAGGGCTCACACGGTTTACTAGTAACGAGAGAATCCTGGAACACCATACTATGCCTACCGCTCTGTATGTGTATTATTGGGATTGATATGTTGTTCCGGTAGTTCTGATGTAACATATCATACTAAAAATTTAGTAGTCACTACAAGTATGCTGTACAACAAAATAGCTGAAAAATATTGTAAGTTATACGCCAAATTTTTCCTTGTGTCGTATTTTTTTGGTATGCCTTCAAGTCCGTTATGCTCATTTTCTCTAATAAAATTTACTCAAAATGAGTGCGAGGAGTGTTTTGGTATGTTTCGCATTGTTAGATCATATTTGTTCTTGTAAACTTCCCCTACTGTACTCTAGCACAGCAACCCCATCTCACGATCAACGGCATTCGGGCATCAGGATGGCCTCATTCTTGTATTCAACCTTAATTACGATATTAGTCTTCACTTAGTTGGTCACCATTAAGGATATAAGAAAAGTTGTTCGGCGTCCGATCTGCGCAATCTGATTGATTATTGGTAACAATTTCACCTGTAAACAAGGTGATTGTTTCACGTATGTTATCGGAACCCTCTATGCCAAGCCTTCACCATGGTCCCGATGCAAAGCCCTCATTTGGCAAGCCTCTCACCAGTCTTCCTGCGCTTCATCTCCCCCCGTCTTCCCTCCTCCTCCCGTCTTCCGTCATCTTTCCTCTCCCCTCACTCCCTCTTCCTTGCGCACCCGTTTTTCCTCATCATGCTAAAGAGGTTTGCAATCCTGTTTTAATAGAATCGGGTTTAAAGAGTCCATTGCTGATGCCCCGCGTCTTGTCCTCCTAGCGGTCTTGCTCGATTTGCTGCCGGGAGGCGAGTCGGGGCTGCTTCCCTGAGGTCCGCTACAATAATTAACAACAATGCCTTCAATGCTTTCAAACCTGCTCTACCTGTCTATTGCGCTCGTGCCATGGCCACTGCCGCCGACTCTTCAAGAGTCGGAAGGATCCATCAAGTCATTGGTGCCGTTGTTGATGTGGTATGTGCCGAGAAAATTTTCATCCGGGGGAATTCAACCGCCATGGACCAGGTATGGGGATCAGTTGATTAATACAAACACTACCCTTAGAAATTTGATGGCGAGCAATTGCCCCCTATTCTCAATGCCCTCAATACCGATAAGAATGGGAACAAATTGGTTTTGGAAGTCGCCCAACATTTGGGAGAGAATGTCGTTCGTTGCATTGCCATGGACGGTATGCAGGGCCCCACTTAGTGTCTTAGATCGGCGACCCAATATTGAACTTAATTCCGGTTTAACAAGTACTGATAGAAACTCTTTAGGTACCGAGGGTCTTGTCCGTGGTCGGGCAGTACACGATACCGGCGCTCCCATTAAGATTCCTGTTGGGCCAGGTACTTTGGGACGTATTATGAATGTTACTGGCGATCCTATTGACGAGCGTGGCCCTATCAAGGCCGCCAAGATGGCACCCATCCATGCCGAAGCCCCACCATTCGTTGACCAATCTACAACTGCTGAAATCTTGGTCACTGGTATCAAGGGTAAGAGTCGGTCGTTCTAACATATAAAGGTTCATCTAATATTTTTCATTTTTTTCGCAGTCGTCGATTTGCTCGCACCTTACGCTCGTGGAGGAAAGATTGGTCTCTTCGGAGGTGCTGGTGTCGGAAAGACCGTGTTTATTCAGGAGTTGATTAACAACATCGCAAAGGCTCATGGCGGTTACTCCGTGTTTACTGGTGTCGGTGAACGTACCCGTGAGGGTAATGACTTGTACCACGAAATGCAGGAGACCCGTAAGTTTACCTTCCTCGAAGTGCTCAATACCATTTACTAACTTCTGGTGTTAAAGGTGTCATTCAACTGGATGGGGACTCCAAGGTTGCATTGGTCTTCGGTCAAATGAACGAGCCTCCTGGGGCCCGTGCTCGTGTCGCCCTCACTGGCCTTACTGTGGCAGAATACTTCCGTGATGAGGAGGGCCAGGACGTGCTTCTCTTCGTACGTGATTCCACCATTTGCATATTTGACGCAGCATGCTAACGTTATTTCTTTTCCCTGTAGATTGACAACATTTTCCGTTTCACTCAGGCTGGTTCTGAAGTGTCAGCTTTACTCGGTCGTATCCCCTCTGCTGTCGGTTACCAACCTACCTTGTCAGTAGACATGGGGCAGATGCAGGAACGTATTACTACCACCAAGAAAGGATCCATTACCTCCGTCCAGGCTGTATACGTCCCTGCCGACGATTTGACTGATCCTGCCCCCGCCACTACCTTCGCCCATTTGGACGCTACCACTGTGTTATCCCGTGGCATCTCCGAGTTGGGAATCTACCCCGCTGTCGACCCTCTCGACTCTAAGTCCAGAATGTTGGACCCTAAGATTGTGGGAGAGGAGCACTACAACACTGCCACTCGTGTCCAACGTATGTTGCAGGAGTACAAGTCGCTGCAAGATATCATCGCCATTTTAGGTAAGAACCCGAACCACCTTTACCTTTCTCCGTGACTTACGCTAGTGGTATTGGCTTGTAGGCATGGACGAACTTTCTGAAGCCGATAAGTTGACTGTCGAGCGTGCCCGAAAACTACAACGTTTCTTGTCACAGCCCTTCGCTGTTGCCCAGGTCTTCACTGGCATCGAAGGTGCTTTAGTCGATATCAAAGACACCATTAGATCGTTCAATGAGATTATGAACGGTAACTGTGATGACCTTCCCGAGGCTGCTTTCTACATGGTCGGAAACATCGAGTCTGCGCGGGCAAAGGGTGAGAAGATCTTGGCAGAATTGGAGGATAAATAGATACCGTAGATGTGGTGGATGCTTAGAAAAACCACCCTGAATTAGGGATTGCGTACGTGCATGGGGTGCAAAACTTACGGTTGTACATGGCTTTATCTCCTTTTTATGCTACTCACTACTTGTAGTGTATTTCGGCACAAAAATTTTCTATCTCCTGTTCTAATACCTCCTGTGCACGCATAGGATGACTTCAGGGAGTGCGGGCGAAAGTTGGTCAAACCCGTCTATTGTAGTGGTATCCATGAACATTGTGAGACAAGCACCAAGCGCTACCCATCATGCTCTAGGCGAGTAGATATCTCTAGGCATGATGCCAGCTCTTACCATTCTTAATGGCTCTAGATCTTGTGCTTCGCACGCTTGGCTGCTCTTAGCACCGTTCTGCAGCCCCAAAACTTACTACTATTTACGACGTTTCCTTGAGTAACCCCCTGCAAATATTGATAGGGGAAACAAAACAGGTCCTAAAGTCCTCGAACTGGGGAGAGGGATCAAGTATACCCCGTTAATCCTTGCTGAACGAGTGACGAATGATGAACGTTTCTACTGTTGAGCGGCTGCGCATAACAAAGTAGTACTCAACTACCACTACTTCTTGCAGAGATATTGTGATATGGATAAACCGTCGACTCTTCGATAGGAATACAGGTGCCCTCTATAAAGTTGGGGTGGGGACGGTGTTTTGACGCTAATCCCCCTTTGAAACTGCCGGGTAACTCGACCCGTCAGTAGCTCTAGCTACGTTCTTTGAAACAGGGTTCTCTCAACCAGAAAACAAACATCCTTTACCTGCTCCTAAGTTGCTGCACATCTGGCGCTGTAGAGCTCTCAGGATGGTAAAATCGACACAAATTGCCCGACTGGACGGTATGTTTCTATTCCGCTCCGAGTCTACTAATGAACAAGCCCCTGACTCTACGTTCTTTACCATGAATAGGTGTCCCTTTAGCAGCCACTGTCGACGACGATCAAGCAGAAGCCGAACTGGCCGAAGTGAAACAGCAATGCAAACTGATTTTCAAAAGGCTAAACCAGCATTCCGAGCCCAGAGCGAGTATTGAATCCGGGCCTTTTACCCTACAGTAAGAAAACCGACAATTCCGGAGATTTTACACACCACAAATAAGTTTCCATCGGTTGCTAACGGTGTCGGCGAAACAGCTACATTATCGAGAACCACGTATGCTACTTGTGCGTTTGCGATAAATCATACCCACGCAAACTTGCCTTTACGTATCTCCAGGACATCGCGGCTGAGTTCTACTCATCGTACGGAAATGAACTCATGAATCCGTCCTTGCGACCGTATGCGTTTGTCCAGTTCGACACTTTTATGCAGAGAACCAAGCGCACATATCAGGATACGAGGGCTTCTGCGAACTTGGATAAACTGAATGATGATCTCAAGGATGTTACGAGAGTTATGACCAAGAACATTGAGGACTTGTTGTACAGAGGGGATTCGCTAGAGAGAATGGGGGACATGAGCTCGAGATTGAGGGATGAAAGCAAGAAATATAGAAAAGCTGCGGTCAGAATCAACTGGGAACTTATGTTGAAGCAAGTATGTTAAGAAATCCCTTCCCTCCCGAACGTGGCTAAGGCTAATATTATTCGTATTCAGTACGGACCAATAGGCGCTGTGGGCCTGGTGGTACTCTTTTTCATTTGGTGGAGATTTTTCTGAGCAGTAGTAAGCATCTCGTATTCCTCGAATGGCCGAGAATTTCCTTCACTGTGGGCATGGTTGAGCTGAGGGCAGAAAAAACTGGAAATTTGGAGTGTTGCGACTTCAGCTTGTTTTCTGTTATGCCTTCGATATCTGGGTGTATAATATTCATTGTACGACATGTAGACTGTTCTGTAACTCTCACCTGAAAGAAACCCAAAGCCTTGAGACTTTATGATGCGAACTCATAGTATATTTCAGGCTATTGTAATAGCACCGAAAGGAATAGCCTTAGGTGTCCCAGTGTGATTCCACAAACGGATGCACCTCCTCGAGATTATTCCCACGGTTTCAGGCGCGCCCTATCGTGTTCAGTATCCGGAGGAGAGCTTGGTCAGCATGCCGTACCGCATCCCAATCTACGAAGTTGTTGAACTTCGGGCAGGAGATACAGTGCTACGCTTAGCATTACAGCACCTCTAAGTTATCAGTCAATATTAATGGACATGGCACTCAATACCGGTACTCTACACGGCCGTGATGAGCACCAAAAGAGGAGATATTCAGCACAAGGCTCTTTTCCCCGCTCGTTCCCTACTGTATTACCGTAGGCTCGTTTTTTATACAAGCCATAGTAGGATGGAGGCCCGCTTACAGTAAGAACCAACAGTTTATCACACTCCCTCCGATCCAACCTGTTGCTTAACGCCAAATATTCCCTCCCGCTCAGGCATCGCGCAGCATCTGTGAGTATGAGCACATAAATATTTTTGACTACTCGAGTACCGTGCTTCACACTATCCAGTGTCACATCTCAGCTGGCAGAGAGTTAGGGGACAACTTTCACAACACCAGATCGGTATCACAACTACTGGCACTGTTGTACTTTTAGGCTCCAAGAGGCACCTCCTTAGTACTGTACACATTGCCCAGATTCAGCTCAGGGAATAGTACTAATACCACGAGGTAAGTCTGAATAAGATTATCTATTACCGGCGCAGTTATCCCTCGCTCTGCGATCATACAAGCATACAACGGCATCACTGTATTACTGTATAGCAATGATTTGACAGCGGGAGATGGAAGTTTTCCTGTGCCATCGTACAGTACTAGGATTTTCATTTCACGCTGTTCGCTTGCCCTGCCGAAGGCGATCATTCATCCCTAACTAAACGTTATCCCCCCGTTCTTTCTTTCAATCCTCCCTTCCTTCCTCCATTCAGCCCCTGCCGGCCACTCACGTTTTCACCCAATTCATCTATTGTAGCTAAATGGCGTATAGTTGCGCTGTACAAGGCCAAAATCTCCCCTCAAAGAACCACTCATCTTCTCCCTCTTTTCTGAATTTTGGGTGCAAACCGTTACTATCTTCCCTTACCGTCCCTCATGCTAAGGTTGCGGGATTGTGTACATGGCAGGCCCTTCGCCCCACGTGAGAAACTCCCAGAACCCAAGCTTGCAGGACGCTGTGAACCCCCGCTGCACGTCTACTCAGACCCTCACCTCCGCATTATTCACCACCCGCCTACCCGCCCCGTCCCTGGCCGCCTCGCTCAAAGTAACGAAAATCCCGCTAATTGAAGACGACTCGGCACCACGAGTCGTCGTACCCCGACTCTTAGTTCTGGCGGAATCCACCCCCGACGAAGGAGTTCAGACTCTTTCGCAATATACACATCTCGACGACGGTATGGATGCTGAGCACTACCAACACTCTCTGGATGAGGAGGAGGACGACGATGAGGAGAGCAGTTTCGTTCAGGGTATCACAGCCGGAGGACATGACCATTCGCAGGATACATCTCCCCCAGAATTTTCCCACCAAAGCTTTGAACGACAGCACCTCTCGATAGATCCGGCGCTCGACACGCCACCTCCGGAAAATCATCCCCATCATCTTCATCACCATCACCATGCTGGACAGGACAATGACGATGAAGAAGGCGATGGATCCTCTCACCACCGGCTCCAGCAACCGCAGCAACAAGTCCAGAATCATTTTGTGCAATCACAACTTCCCCGGCAGCTCTACACTGACCTCGCGCGGAGCGCGAACCAGTTCTCGTTACAACATCACGCCCCTGACCAGTTATCGACGCCTCCAGCGCAGTTTCAAGCATCGTCGCCTGCATCCGGAAAAATCTTGCCAACGTTCACACCATCGGATCGGAGCTTGCCTGATCGAGCTGTTACGGACGAAACCTTAGACGATGCCTACGTCGCATTTATCTTATACTGCAACCCATCCGTACCACTGGATTGTGATACGGCCGAGCTACGGAAAGCCTTTAGACAGCCTCCTAAGAGCGATGGCAAGACCTTCAATATCCATCACCTCCTCCAATTGATTGAAAAGTTTGAAGAGAAGGAAATCAAAACATGGACGAAGCTCGCGATTCAGCTGGGGGTTGAGAGAACTGCAGACCAGAGCGCGCAGAAAGTCCAACAGTATGCAGTGAGATTAAAGGTACGTGTGCTCGTCAAAATATTCTTTTTTAATCATTAACACAACGTGCACAGAGATGGATGCATGCGATGCATATCGACGCATTTTTCGAATACATTCTCAACAAACCGCACGCATACTACCAACATATCCCTCACTCTCTACCTACCTCTGACTCCCTAGATCAGATGCGTGACGGTGTGCCTATCGAGGAAGATCTGGCCTTACGCGCTTTACATCCGGAAACTCGTCCTAAGCGTGGCCGACGGAAAACAGATGACAAGGACGATGGGAGTGAAAAGGATATGCCTGATTCCAAGCGGCCGCATATTGGTATTGAAACCCCCACTACTACAGACCCCACCAGTGCCATGGAACACTTCAGTAATTCCTTATTTCCACCACACCCTCAATCTGCGGCTCCATCTAGTGCTGGAGGAGATGGGATGGAAAGGTTTCTAGAGGAGTCGGATCCTTGGGCAGCGGCTACACAATCCGTCTTAAGTGGTGGGGGGAACAGTGCTACACCTACAGGTGGGCAACAGTTTCGGTGGAGGGCTTTTCCAAGGGAAGGAACTACACCGCAAAGCGCACATGCACCTCCGACTATACTCACATCTCATGATAACATCACCCCCCAAGATGAAATACAGACACCTGTTTCAACAACTCCAGTATCTGCCTCAAAGCCACGGTCCCGACGGAGGCATGGCCCAGCCGTGTCCTCTGCCTGGCCAAGCTCTGGAAACCCTCTTACTGGAAAATTGAGGGGTCGACCACCGAGTAATAGATCCGTTAGAGATGGCCCATTTTCAACATTCCCAGCCCACCCTACAGGTAAAGGCCATACTATCGACCTTAGTAGTCCGGGAAGCATAACCCCAACTCCGACCTCAACTCCTGTCACCACCCATGCGCCACAACAATTCACATTCAGACCGGAGCAACTGCACCTAACCGTCCCAGCAAGGGTCGGCGGTAATGCCATTTCAATGGCATCACCAGCTTCAGCCATAACCCCATCACCGCACATGAATGGTAACTCTTGGAAACGTGAAAAAAGCCCCCTGGGAAGGGAAAGTGCGAATATATATGAAGCCCAAGGGCTCGAGGATGTCGAGCGGAGATTCTCTGTGAGCTTGTTACAGGCCCAGTGTCATGATGGGTTGGTATTGGGGGTGGAAGACGCAAAGAGGATAGCAGAGAAGATTGTCTCTGCCCTGAAACGTGCCTGGCCGAATAGTGGAGGCAGGGTGGATGACAAAATTGTAGCAGCACTGTTGGGCTGTGGTGATGACGGTGTTTTCCGAGAGGTCAAGATTTCGAGATTAAGCGGAGGCTCAGATCGGCGAGACCTAGATGATTTAGGACTGGACGTCGACGATGGCGACCAATTAAACGGCCGAGAAGGTGGTGAGAGGGGGTTCGATGTCCGGTGGAGTATACAGTTTGGCTCTGTCAAGGGCGAATTCTCGCAGATTGTGTCTGTTGGCGGAAATAGTGGACTAGACCATAACAATGACCCCCCCCCTAGCAGTCTCAGCCAAATAGGGGAAGATAACGACCGGGTATTAAAAGAGCTAGAAGGCCTTGAAGACTTCGGCGGGGGAGTTAACGACGACCCACACGAAAAAAGCACAGGTAGCAGCAATGGTGCTAGCAACACTGGAAATGTCGAGAAGCTGAGGAAGCGAGTCCTGGAGCTGGAGCGGAGTTTAAAGGCTAAGGAGAAGGAAATTCATGGCATAAAGGAAAATGTTCTCAAAGCTGTGGTTCTGTGATATTTGATGTTGGTATTGATCCAAACTCTCTCTGTTAGTTTGAATTCGAAAAAAAATTGAAAAATTGAAAATATCATGGCAGGAGTTATTAGTTTTTTTGTCCGCTCGGCGCAAGGGATTGCTGAGAAATGCCTTGCTTTGTTTCATCCGTTACCTTCATTACCTTTTGTTTTTCTTACCATATTATTATCATTATCATCTGGGTGGCTATCGTCGTTTTATTCACTTATTTATTTTCCTCCCCTCACCCTTCCCCTACGGGTACAAGTCTTAGGCAAAAGGGTTTCTTCTCCAATTGGGTCACCGGGGTCTTGCTTTATGAGCTGAAAAAAAAAAGAGATCCAGTTCTTGTTTATTCATCTGTTCACGTTTTTTGGATGTGTATTCACCAGCTCTCTGTTCCTCCATGCTCTCATAATTGGGGCTCCGGGCCGAAATGCTAGACAATCCCCCTCTAGGTCACCAAAATTTAATGACTGTCAACGTCGAGTGAGATACTATGAAGCTTAAGAGATGTTGAATCGCACGGGGGATGGTGGTTGTTAGGACACCATGCCGGTAGTGTTGATGAACGAAACTCCTGTTGTTATTACTATGATATTATGTGTTATCTAGGGCCTCGGGCGATTTTGTACCCTCCAACCTTATATTATGATACTGCTGGCACGGCTTTATGGAGCCATCATATCATAGCAGGGGTTTGTGGGAGAGCTCTCCCGGAAACACTCGTAACGCAGCCTCATTAGCAAAGCATTCGAAAATAATGCACTTCAGTGCTCTGAAGGTATGATAGTAGTTTTTTATTTACTTGAGCCCTCAGAATCTCATCGTTTGGGTGTATGATACTGTACGGTACTCCGTCTCATCATTAGAAGGGTGAGGAAATATTTTCGATATAAGCGCATTCTTGATCATATCATACCTCTTGGATACCGCCCTTGGCCGAGACGCACATACCGGTATGATACTGTGCTATGCAAAAGGTGTCACACGGCAGTGAGTAGCAGGATACTCACAGGCTTTTCCACTCTCTTTGCTCCCCAAGTGACCCAAATAAATTTAAAGAAGTTGCAAAAAAGTGAAAAAAAAGGTTGGGAATATAATAACTCGAGGCCTCTAAATTATATGATGCTCGGGTGAAAATCATTATCATAGCGACAGCTGTTTCCTTGGAATCCTTGGCGCAATTCACCGCCAGCCACGCAAAATACACCACCTTTGGGCGGGGGTAGACCAATATAGAAATCCTTTCTGAATAAAAATAAAAATAAAAAATAAAAACTAATACTGTAGTTCATTAGATACCGGTATGTCTTTCACTATTTCATCATTGGCCAAGGGCGAAGTAATTCTTTTCACTTTTTCGATTGCATTTTTTTCAGCCAGTTTATGATACTTGTAAATTAAATGGTATCCGATAGGTTCTGTGGTTGCCAAGTGCATGGTTGACTCTTCAAGTGTTCCCAAGCCCTGACAGGTTTTGCAGCACGTGCGAAATTGTCCATCTGTCTGGTCCGTGCTTGAGCCTAATTATGGCTCCTGTCATCTCGATACTCGAGGACTGTACTCGTCCTGTCATGACGTTTGTGAAATGGACCGGGCTTGCATGGTGGCGCAAGGGAGTGTAGGGGGTGCATATCGGGATACAAAAGCCTCAGAATGATATTGAATATGGTAAATAGAAGAAAGGAAATAAATCACAAATACCACATCATATATTCAAACAACGTTAATAAACAAAATAAAATAAATATTAAAAAATCAAAAATTAAAATTATTTCCTGCTTCATCATCAATACATGCTCTAATGCGTTTAGGCATAGAATCAATATGGTGATTGATTCGCTCCTGGGGATATTCTCTCCATACCTGAAATTAAATAATATAAGTAGTCTTCTAATTAATGTAAAATCAGGAATAAAAATTGAATGATAGTAACTTACCTACTCTAGGATAACCCTAATCTGATGTGCAGTCATGCGGGTTCCAATCTGTTGGCGGATTTGATCTTTCATCTCCATCCAAATCGTTTCAATTGGATTGAGGTCTGGGGAGTTTGCGGGCCAAACAATTTTAGAAAATCCAAGCTTCTGGCGAGGAATATTATGATAATGGTGGACATGTGCGGGAGCATTGTCCTCCATTATCATAATATTTCTGGCAGGAAACTCAGTAAGTACTTGTTAGGTAAATGGATATAATAAGGAACGAAGAATACATTCACGATAAATATACCAGTCGATACTGCCCCTCCGATCTGCTTTTCTCGTTTTCAATTCTGGGTCTGGAAATGGTATTTCCAGACCAAGGCAGCTACCCTCGCATTTTCCACTAACTCATCTTCATACTCCTTTTTCAAGGCTATAAGAGAGTCCTTCAATTGCTTTAGAGTCTCAAATGGAGTTGTATACATATGATATGGAAGTTCATTACCTGTATATTAACAATTAATAATAAAATTAAATACAAATTTAATAAAATACAGTTCATTCTTTAATCAAAAGTCTATATTTACATACTCGTGCTTCTCTGCCAAGTTTTGCCTTCCCCATTTGGAGTAGCGAGTTCATGTCGATCACTTGATACAAAAAAGGTTTAGTATGAAGCCAGCTGAATGGTCTAACATTCGGAGCAGGTACAATACTGTGGGAAGAACAACAAATGGAAGAGCTATACAAATATAGGGGATATATGAGATGGATGGACAGAGAGTAAGGTTTTTGTCTATACCTTTCTTATTGTCCTACAATTTCTCCATAACAGTCAAGTCCTATTCTATTCAGTACATCAAGCATTAAATTTATTATCACCATCTCATGCCCGAACCTGAAGTAGATTTAGGTGAAAATACATGCAAAACCGATCAATCAACACCTGTGGCATACGTTCCCACTCTAGTCTTATCACGAATGTGGATTAGCAAGGAAAGGGTTTTCACGTGACACATAGTTATGAGTCACAGGTACATTATTGTTTTACACATATGACTCATTTGGGTCATATGATTTGTTATGTGTGGGATTTGTGATGCTTTCGCACATGGCTCAAATATGAGTCATGGGACGTACATAGGGCGAGTGTGCCTTGCGAGTGTACCTTGCGAGTATGCCTTACGGGTAAGTCTTATGCATATGATTTATGTTTCGCACATATGACTCGGTCGAGTCATATGATTGGTTTATTGCGTTATGATTGGTTTATGAGATTTTCGCACATGACCTCGCTATGAGGTCATGGGGTTTGAACATGTGACCATGTTGGTCACATGATTAGTTTGTTATGATTTTGTTTCGCACATGTGACCAGTTTAGGTCACATGACTATGGGCGGAAGAACACTATATAAGGAGGCCGATGCGGCTGAGGAGGATAGGTTCTTCACGCTTTGTTCTATGTACTTTTCCTACTTATTACTTTAACAAATATAAAACACCTTTACGATCTTTATCTTTACTGTAACGTTATTGTTACGTCAAGGAAGGTTCTTCACGAATACGAGTTAGAGAAAGCTTACGATAGACATTTCCGATAGAAGACAAAGGTCTTGTACTATTGGTAATGTAGGCAGAGGCCTAGAGCTATCCTAAGACAAAGGAAGAAAGAGACAGAAACGAGAAGTATCGTTCCCCGTCGCCAAGAACTAACTATCTAGAGAGGGATCGGTACATTACAAAGCGTCACCTAGTGTGACGCCAAACGATACAAGACGGCATCCTTCAACCCAGACAGGGAAGGAGATATTGACATCAACGATCAAAATGCTTAATCTAGGAGGATTCAGTGACGCCCTAGATCACGTCTCAGCAGAACCCTCGAGAGTAGCAAGCCCAATAACCTCAGAGAAAGGATCACCAGTCGATAGCTCTCCTGCTGGAACTCCATGACCCGAGAGAATGTCGGGATCCGCAGTACCTGAGCCACCGGCCCCAGCCGTTCCGGCACCAGGAACTAGCATACTGGGAATGACTGAAAATCAGTTTCAGGCATTTCTCACAGCAACAAGAAACACAGGACAAGGCAACATCAAACGACCAAAAGCAAAGGAGTCCGACACATATGAAGGAGCCGAAGATAAGCTACGAATATTCTTAGCGCAATGGGAGCGATATTTTGCCGTTAAGGGATACGGAGATCACCATGATGAAATTAAGATTCCATATGTGGAATCTCTACTCAGAGGACTCGCGGGACAATAGATCATGCCCTTCTAAGATGGAAGGAAGTAGAGAGAATGGGTCACATACGAGGAGTTCAAGGCAACACTCTTCGAGCAATTCGGAGATCCAAATGCCAAAGAAACCGCAAGACAAAAGCTGGAGAAACTCCAACAAGGAAAACAAACATTCTCGGCATACTGGAACGAATGCAGGCTATTGAAATACGAGGCTGAATTTGCTGATGCTACTCTCTAAATCATCCTCCTGAGAAACTGCAGCGAGAGACTCTGAGATGCATGGGGAATCTCAGACTTGCGCTATACCACAGCAGAACAATTTGCAAGATGGGCGATTGATAAGGAAAGCAAACTAAACCTGGTTCAAAGCAACTCGGAGAACACTATCGCACATAGGGTGGTCCAATCATCCAGGAATGTGGATGGGACCTTCAAACCGGAAGCAGCTCGTGGAGAAAGTCGAGCATTACTACCAGGCGAGCCGATGGAATTAGACAAGTCAAGAGCAGGACCTGCTTTGAACGTGTCTAAGGAAGAATACGCCAGAAGAATGAACGGGAAACTCTACCTGAGATGCAGAAAAGCAGGACATCGGATACGAGAATGCAGAAGCCGACCTGACAGCGGATACCAAGGGACCAGAGCTGCTGGAAATAATCGTTTCCAAAGTCAAAAAAGGAGCAACATTCGCGAAATGATCGCAGAAGATTCACCGGTGGAAAATGACGAGGGTCCCCAGTAAACGGTGGTCTGGGAGACCCAAGATGTGGACCTGGAAAACCCATCAAGATAGCGAACTACTAAACGGCACTACACATGCAAAGAGG